AGGGGGCGTGGCACCTCCCATATAAATTAAATACAAAAATTCGTTTATCTTGGAAACTATTATAGCTAGAATATTAAAAATTTGCACGAGTAACTTTAACATCCATGTAAACATTTTGGGAAAAAAATTGGCGGACTACCCATGGGGGGAGCAGCACCTCCCATATTAATAAAATACAAAAATTGGTTTATCTGGGAAACTAATAGAACTAAATTCTTCAAATTTTGCACTAAGAACTTAAATATTCATCTGAACATTTTGGAGAAAAAAGAGCGGACTTCGTCATGGGGGGCTTGGAGCCCCCATATAAATTAAATAGGAAAATATTATATCTGAGAAACTATTAGAGCTAGAATCTTCAAATTTTAATTGAAGAACTTTGACATTCATGAGAACATTCAGAGAATAATGGGCGGACTTTCAATGGGGGCTTGGCACCTTACATATGAATTAAATACAAAATTTCGCTTATCTGGGAAACTAATAGAACATTTTGGAGAAAAAAAGGGCGGACTTTCATCAGGGGGCTGTGAGTTCCCATATGAATTAAATAGAAAAATTCCTATATCTGAGAAACTATTAGAGCTAGAATCTTCAAATTCTACATGAAGATCTTTGACATTAATGTGAACATTAGAGAATAACGGGCGGACTTTCAATGGTGTCTTGGCAACCCCTATATGAATTAAATACAAAATTTCGTATATCTGTGAAAATATTAGATTTTTTTTAATTTGTCATCGATTACATTAAAATCTTAATTAACGTTCCGAAAAAATGCATCTCTGGAAAACATTACAGTTAGAATCTTCAAAATTATTAAGAAGATTTTTTATTTATATTGCTTTTAGGGTAGCAAAGCACTCTGGATATAGCTAGTGTTTTTATAAACACGAACGGAAAATAATATTTAAAATTTTGTATCCAAAAAATTTTTAAAATGCAAATTACAATAAAAAATAAAAAAACATATTTGTACTAACAATTTACATTTTTTGAAACCGGTTAACCGAGACACAAAAACCGGATAACCTGTTTAACCTAAAATAGATGATTCAAAAAACTCGTTCACGAAAAACCGAAATATGCAATAAAAACCGGTTTTTCGGTTAACCGGTTTATAAACACTACACATGTAATGCTTAAAATAACCATATGTCACATTTCTGACGAAATGTAATGCTGCTAGTGTCCGTTTGCATTTAATAACGAAGAAAATACAAAAATTGTTTAAAAATATATGTATATGCTACCCATAAAAACAATTAGAGCTTTGTACTAAAAAGAGATCAGTAGCTCGGTGGTGAGGGGTTCTTACTACAAACCGATAGACATTTTTAATTTTTTTGGAGAATTTGAACTAGTGATATTAATGTAAACATGTAATGCATATGCACGGCCACTCGCAGTGATATCCAAATGTTAAATTCAGTAAATAACATTGCTAGTGGGTCGAAAATTCACTAGTGGTAGTTCTTAGTGGCTGTTGATATCGCCGTTGTCGAACTGCCATACCGTTATTTATGGACGGATTTTGCTATTTTTAAATAGGAAACTTCTCGAAACAATATCCTGGAGAATTATGGAAGATATGGATCCGAAAGATATCCGGAGTCTTCAGAAATAGCTATCTTTTGACAAATTTTTCTAGGAGTAATATATGAAAAGTTACAGTCATTTAAAAAGAACTTTGATTCCGTCTAACTCCGTCTAAAATGTTGCCAAAAATTGCCTATCTATGAACTAGACCGCTTCGACCCATTTCCCTCAAATTTTCGGTATATTAAAATCCTATATCATGATACTAGAAGAATTTCTAAAATTGATTTAATATACATTTTGTAGATTGGACTCTTATTTATTAATAATTATACACCGAAATTTATGGGTCCAGAGTTGCCATAGTGCATTTATAATATAATAATAATAATTATTATATTTATATAAGTATAATATCTTCAAAGGTGCGAAAGTTAGAAGGGAGTTTATTTGTTCAGTCTTTGTAGAACTTCTATTGGAAATGCTCATATTTCAGCATGGCGACCACAAGAACGTACTAAAAATCGTGGAAAATTTCTTACTGATAAGTGGTCAGTCCATAGTTCTGGCCTCTATCCTACTGAAGAGACGGTTGGGACAATACCGAGTAATCCAAATCAATTTGGTGGAGCTTTGGCAGCGGGTTCAGCGCGATAACCACCGCTCTTTGAAAATTTCTTAATTAAGTGTTTTTACTTTGCCACACGAAAGTTTACATTTTATTGGTACCAAGTTACCTGAGGTCTGCTTAGAGCTTCTTAAATATATGTAGTGATCTTCCTACTTCGTATATGGACTTCGGAGAACATAAATGAGGGTTTCAATGATTTTCCATTGATACAAGCCGTTTTCCTTTGGCAGTCAAAGATTTTGAGATATTTTGAGATTATCTGTCAAAAATGTATAGAAACGTATGGCTCTTTTCCTTTTTTGAAATTATTCATTAGATCAGGAATGTATTTTTATGTAAACACATACAAAAAATGAAAAAGCTGTTCCATCTTACTTTGTTATTGTATTATACCAATAGTGTAAACGCAAAAAAATAAATCATACAACTCTTATCCTCTTTTTAAAATACAGATGGAATTTCTCATAGTGTAAAGCCCACATAAAAGGTTGGTCAGATTCTAATGAGATTTCAAATATGTAAAGAGAAGTGTTGCCGAGTTTAGGTTTTGAATTTGGACCTCATGGACGTAGTCCGCAAAGTAGGAAGTTAAGAAGTTACAGAATTATTTCCCTCTTTTTTATTTCTATACCACCGGTTATATATTTTTTTCAATGTTTTATTACTTTTTTATGAGAAAATTCAAAAATTTCACAAATGATTTCTCTCAAATATTTATCAATTTTAACAATATAATGGAAAATTTTCTAATCGAGATTTTTTTGAATTATAGATAACTTCACTTTTTAACGACTTTCTCTCAAATATTTATCAATTTTAACAATATAATGGAAAATTTTCTAATCGAGATTTTTTTGAATTATAGATAACTTCACTTTTTAACGACTTTCAATGGTAGGGGTTTGGAAGCCTGATTAATCATTTGACAATTAAAGCGATTTGAAGTTTATGTTTAAATTAATGCTACCATATTAATAATATTTAATTCAATTTTTCATACATTCAAAAAATATATCAAATAATAATATTTTCTTTAAAACAACCAAAATTTTTTAAAATAATGAGCGACCATGTGGAATACATAATGGAGGTTTACTGGTTTACGGCAATTGAATACATTTTTGGGAGATCAAGAAGCATTTCAAGGAAAAAATCCTAAGATTAAACAGTACTCCATATAATGAGAAATTAATTGGCGTATTTTAGTATCACACTAACCGCCATAGAAAGACAAAATGCAGGCGCAGACACGAATCTCTTCTTCTAGCAATGATATTTTTTTAAACCAGTCTTCAAAAAATATGAAGTATCAATCCCTTGTTAATACCTCGAAATAGTAGTTGTAGAACCAAAATAGTATATATGCACATATATGTATGTATATGATTCCTAAGACGATATAGACATGTCTGTCCATCAATTAAATCATGATAGAGAGAGTGATAGGTCCATTGTATGACCGAAATTCCAAATATACATACCTCCAAACTTGTTTTAAGTGTGACACATGTTTTTATTGTGGTTATATAAGATTCGCTATAGCCGAATTTAACGTTAACTCAAAATAATAAAAAAGTATAATAGGAAAAGAAACACAAAATATTTTACCGTTCTTCTTGTTAGTACAAAAAAGAGGAACAGTAAACGATTTTTAAATTTAGCAACCCAATTCTTGTGAAAAATATCGTCACCTAAAACGCAAACGGCCCTATCTAACATTTTTAAAATTTTACAGGAGAAGCAAAAAACTATTTAAATTGATAAGTTTGTTTCTATCAACGCGATTTATTTGTAGTAAATAAACAAATTGTTTAATAGTGAAACCTATCATTTGTTATGATAGTTGACAATGGCGTATATAAAAATGGATAAATTGGACTTATTACCTTTAATATTTAAATGTTTTTGTAGATAGGGCCTTTTGTTTTCTGTCAATAAAATCTATAATTATGGTCAGAGGAGTCCAATTTTTGGTGTGGACATTTGTTTTGATGCAATACATTAGAATCACCAATAAAATCGATTTTGAATTTTTGGTTAGTTAGGGCCGTTTGCATTTCAGGTGACGATATATAATTTGTAAATTTACTAAATCTCCTAAATTTTTTATTATCAATAAACAACACATTTAAAATTTGTTTAAAACTCCTCAAAATCATTTTCTAGATGTGGCAAAGCTCCCTTTGAATATTTACAAATGATATAAACTTCAAAAATCTCCATTCCTGTAAACAAATAAAATTGAAACAACCCTCTATTTTTTAAACCATGGGATTTTATGAAAAATGGATGTAAGGAAAAACTTACATTGAAAAGTAATGAGTTAAAAAGCTAATAAAACCTCTTTTCACTACTTCTTCATTAGCTTTGTAACTCATTATTTTAACACTGTGATGTCATTGGATGCAAGTACTTCCACGCTAAAAAGAGCCAGCGAACCAGGGACTTCGGTTTTTAGTAAAATGTTCTACTCACTGCACCACTGCCCAGTTATTTTATTATTATTATTTTTATTTATTTAACATAAAAAATGCTAATATATGATTATTATATAATCAATATTGAAACAGATTAATGGATATTTATTGCAATTCCTTATAAATATCAGATAAAATAATTAGAAAACAAACAAAAAATCATGTAAAAATTGATACATTTTGTAAACTTTTAATATTCTGAATGAAATGGTTTTTATCACACATATATTATTTTCTTTATTCTGTGTTTGGAAAAACGGTTGCTAACGCGATCAAATAAAATGACAAATACTATTTAAAATTAATGCAGATGGTATTAAAATATAAGGTGTTAAGTAAGCACAAGTCATTACCAAGTGTTTGTTATAGAATTTATTTATTTATTCTTTTCAGCTAATTTTTGCAATAATGTCAAGAACGAAAATGCCTGTGTTATTACCTGAAAATAATAATAATATAATTTAAACATATGTATGTATGTATGTATGTATGTATGTATATATGTATGTATGTTTGTTTGTATGATAGTCTTCTATAAGTTCACTAAATTCATGAAATGTTTAAAAATTAAAATTAATATGTTTGACCTTTTGAGTAATAAAATGAAATAATTGTTAAATATTTACCGAACGCAAACGCTGTATATCCATCAAGTAAAATTTACCAGCGGTAATTTTGACTACACGCTTCGTATTTACCAAAAATACAAAAATATCTCGTTTTATATAATGAGCATGCGGCCACCATTGCGAACGAAAGAAAGCTTCACCGGCTCGAACGCTGTGATTTCGAAGCAATTCACCAAAATATGTAAACATGAGCAATTCGGAGAGCGTCAATGCCAAATATTGCACCAAATTAATTGTCCTCATCGTGGAACTCTCACCCTGCAGTGAACAGATGAATTGAATAAAGTCAAATTAGATTAGTCTTTTTTGAAGGCAGATACATACAGCCACTCCTACAAATACAAGCAAACATAGTTGCAATGTTATCTGAAGAGATTTGATGAGACAGTACGGGTTAAAAAGATCCTCTAATGTGTCACAACTCTTTAAAATAAATTTATGTAAGAGGACACATTCCACTAATGATTCGTGAAGAACTTTCTTAAGTGATTTTTTGTGGCGTACTTCTTTGCTACCAAATATACTCAAGTCGGTTGAGTATTCTTTAGAGTACACATATTGATTGAGTTCATCGTCCTCGCCTTGCAGTAATTGAGATTGGAGTTTTCTGTTAAATGGATTTAAAAAAATCACAATATTCAAATATGTGTAAGTAGAAGTTTGAACTTACTGGAGATATTTTAAATCCTCGCCTGACATCAATTGAGCATGATAATCCAAATTTTTCAAACTACAATAGAGGATATCGAATTGACCCAACATAATAATAATTACCGAAACAAACAGAGCAGAGCCATTCCCAAAGATGCATCCCATAATAAATTGACACCATACTTGAGTCATATAGGTCAATTCATAAACTACAGGTTGCTTTCATATTAATTGAAAATATATGAAATTCATAAGTTTTATGCTTGATTAGAATTTAAGAGTCAAAACATTACGTACCAAAGGATTAAAGGGATACCAACATTTTAATGGCAGAGAATATGATCCCAAAAGTAGGGGATTTAAAGCCCATGATACTACACCAACCATACAGGATCTCAGCCAATAAAGCGTTATTTTGTAAGCAAGATTATAAGATGAGTCTACACTAACAAACGTTAAACCGGCCATTGAATGATGACGATGTTGCTCATTGATCTTTTCTAAAAAGTCCCTCAAAGATTTGGTTCTCCATAACCAATAACATGTTGCAAAAGAGGCAAAAGAATATATAATGGCCATGGTGAGAGCGTCTGTTATCTCTTCCAATTCCCCTATTTGCAACATATCGAACGTGGTTTTTATATACAATAAAGCCAAATGCAAAGTCGAGATAGCCGAAAAGGCACAATAAAATCTAGCCATCATTTTAGCAGCTCCTTGCCATTGTATTGAAACATACTTCTCCAAATTTGTTGGTACTTGACCTACAAATTTCATAAAAAATAGTTGCAAATGAAATAAATCATTCCTCCTTTCATGGTCTTTCTTCGAATATAACACGTTCATGGATCCACCATGAAAATCATTTGACGACATTTTCAATTATCGGACACGTTTAAACAACTAAAGTCGAAGTCAATCATCTGCGGACTATTTAAATAACGCTAAGAACATACAAACATATCTTACTTCCAAAAAGCACTAATAAATATTTAAAACTGGCAATATGGATAAAACAAAAACTTTCACAAATCTAATTAGTCGTATTAATACTCATACAGGTTCTCTAGATCATACTTTCTTTTAATTGTACTTTTTAATTACTTAATTGCTCCACGATTTCGAAAAAGTTTAATTTCTTTTTGTTAACACCCATTATTAAAGATTTCTAAAATGAGATATGCCATGTTAATGGTTTTAATTTTTTAACTGAAATACTATAACTATTTGAAGCATTGTTATTAAGGGTGAGCCCTACGAAATGAACTTTAAAGATTTACTTTTTTTTCAAAACGGCATTCGTTACCCGACAAAAAAAGAACATCCAAAGATGCGAAAAAGAAGTAGAATTTACTTAATGGACGTACTGAAAAAGACCTCCAGAAGTGATGATTTTAACACAGGCTTGTCATAGGAGAGATGTCCTTTTTCTTTGATTCCAAATTCACTACTTCTGAAGTACTTTTAAAGAAATAGTTTTTATGTTATTTTTTTGGAAGTTATTTGGATGCGAAATTGTATTATAGACTAATTTGACTTAAATAATATTAACATTTATAAGGGAAATAGACACATTTAATAAAAGACCAAAAATAAATTTTTTAACTCATAAAAATGTAAGAACAACATGGGACGAATTTATTTGGTAAAATATTAAAATTTTTTTGTTATAATTTTTTTATATCTTGTAATCTCTTTAATATGAATATTCTGACTCTCAAACGATGTAGTTATGTCCGTTACTCTGTCTGTTGTAGACAAGTTAGGACCTAAAAGAGAGAAGGTAGGCAATATCGGTCCAAGATTGTACTTAGCTATATACATCCATATACTGAAAATAATGGCGAACTCAAACTTTATTTTAGAAAATTACTGTAATATTCGACACACATACAAGCATACAAGAAAAGTCGATAAAAGCAATGTATACAAATATCTTCGACTTACTTGTTAATTAATTCATCTACAATGTTGCGGTTTCGATTCCCACCGGAGATCCTCTGATCCGCTTCACCATAATAGGCTTATTGTGTAAGGAAATATAAATAAAAATTTTACATTTTACACCAGAAACCCTGAAATTTGTTAATATATCGTAGGATGATTTTATTACACTTCCAACTTAAATGTTATAATATACATATATTTATCAATTAAATTTCGATTAATACCTATTAAACACACGGGAAACTTTTCTTGGTTATGAGAATATTTAATTAACTTTTGTGAGTTCTTTTGTTGTAATTCGTAAAATACATACATACATATATTACATACATACAAACATATATACATACATACATACATACATACGTACATACATACATAAATACATACATACATACATACATACATACATATGGTTATGAGAATATTTAATTAACTTTTGTGAGTTCTTTTGTTGTAATTCGTAAAATACATACATACATATATTACATACATACAAACATATATACATACATACATACATACGTACATACATACATAAATACATACATACATACATACATACATACATACATACAAACATACATACATACATACATACATACATACATACATACATACATACATACATACATACATACATACATACATACATACATACATACATACATACTACATACATACATACATACATACATACATACATACATACATACATACATACATACATACATACATACATACATACATACATACATACATACATACATACATACTACATACATACATACATACATACATACATACATCACATACATACATACATACATACATACATACATACATACATACATACATACATACATACATACATACATACATACATAACATACATACATACTACATACATACATACATACATACATACATACATACATACATACATACATACATACATACATACATACATACATACATACATACATACATACATACATACATACATACATACATACATACATACATACATACATACATACATACATACATACATACATACATACATACATACATACTACATACATACATACATACATACATACATACATACATACATACATACATACATACATACATACATACATACATACATACATACATACATACATACATACATACATACATACATACATACATACATACATACATACATACATACATACATACATACATACATACATACATACATACATACATACATACATACATACATACATACATACATACATACATACATACATACATACATACATACATACATACATACATACATACATATACATACATTGATGAATGAAAAAGTACCAAACGTCCCTTTCAGTAGATTAGATTTCAGAAAATTTTAAATGTATGTACCTTAGTGAATGGTACCTACATTTTAAATTTTATATATATATTTTTATTTATACTAGAGTTCGCCCCGCGGCCGAAATTCGACCGGAACCATTGAAGTAAAGAATTTAATTCTTATACTGCAAAATAAAACCCTACTTTTATAGTCCAAATGTCTGAAAAAATTTATTTCAATTGCTATTATCAATGCGTATAACTTGCTTTGATCAACGTATTCTTTTAGAAAATGTGATAAAATTTGGTTAAAATTCTGAAAGAAGTTTAAAATCTAAGTTCTAAAATTATTTATGCAACATATTTTTAAAAAACATTTATATTTTTTGAAAGCAAAAACAACGAACATTTCTTCTTTCGATTTTTTATCCCCTAAATAAATGTTCATAAAATCTATGCAAAACTTACTATATGATATATTCATTCCTTACAATATGATATTTCCCTATGTTTAACAATCTGCCAATTCCTCCAGCAATCATCCATGCCCCTTGTCGTAAACAATGTCGAACCTACCCAGCACTATTCCTTTGTAACCTGTAATAATTTTCAACTTATATCTCTATATCCCAGCAAAAAAAAAAGAAAAGACACACAGAAGTGATGATTTTAACACAGATTATTTATAGGCGGAATGTCTCTTTTATTTGATTCCAAATTCATTACTCCTGAAGACATTCTCAAGAATTAATTTTTATAGCTATTTGGAACTAAATTGTAGTTCTTTACTTTACTGTTGTTAAGAGGAATCAGAAACAATTGAATTCGAAAAATTATTATTTGTTTATGAAACTATCCAAATTTGTTTTTTTGGTTTTTATATCTGATAGATAACAAAAACAAAAATAGACTAATATTCTCAAGAGCGCACAGAATCCAAACCTATAAGCTTTTTTTCAAAACTGGACATAGATTTTAATAACCAAAATTCAACATATCTTCTGTGTTTTCATCTTTTGTAACTATGTTTTCCGCAGAAGGTAGACTTGAAGTAGTCCTTCAAAAGTACATTGCAAATTACGATCTAACAAAATTTCATTTAAAATTAAATTTTTCAATTATTGCTATCAGGGCTGTAAAAGGATTTCATTCCGATCAAAAGTGGAATTATTTCCGGGTTTTTGTTTTTTGAATAAAGTAAAAAGACCTTTTTTTAAATGAAACCACTTTCAATTTTTAAAGTGGGATGTTTTAAATTATTGTTTTTTTTAAGTTTTAATAAATATCTTTACTTAAATAACTCCATTTTAGATCGGAATGTGATTTTGGAACAGGAGTATATATTGTATATTATATATTATCTCTATAAGAAATAAATAAATTTTGTTGCCTTTTGTATAAAAAGTCCGTCCTTCAGGTTTACGTTGTATAAATTCTCCCTTATAACACTCCATAAAGACATCTTTCAGCTGACTTACTACTTATTTGGCTTAAATTTAAATGTTTTTTAATCGAATTTAATAGTAGATATTCTATGAAGCTGTAATACTTATAGGCCTTTAAGAGAAGACCTTTTAATAGGCATTCTATTAGCTTTCGCATAGAAGTGCATAGGCAAGAGAGATCTTGCAACAGGGATAGATTCTTGTATCTGGAGAATAAGACTTAAACGCCTCTTTACTTCAAGAGTTTGTCCATGATTTAGTTATTATTTAATTTTTCATAATTATTTAAGTACTTCTTAAGAAATGTTTGAAAGAAATCGTTAATAAACTATAAATTCCAGCCTTATATTAACATATGTAAGTTTAATTGCAAGTAAAAGAATAATAATCGATAAATTGCTAAAGGTGGTATTAGACGACATGTATTTTACTCTAATACCACCTTAAGAAAGGGCAGTCATCAACCATAATTTATATTTGACCCGTTTCAACATTTTTCTATTTTTATAAAACATATAAGTAACCATCGCCTACACTACAGTTTTCACTTTACACTACTATTTTAACAACCGCCTTTTTCCTAATTGGTTAGAATAACCGGAAAAAGAAGAATATCATCAAATCCTCACTGTGCTAAACCTTGTACGTATTAGCGATATACTGATTAATTTATTGCGGTGTATCATGTACCGACATGACAAACTAAACTATCCTACTTATATTTTAAAAGGCTTTGTTTTTGTCCATCATTAAAATATTTAAAATCAATAACAACTAACATTTATGTAGAATTGTTGTCCTACCAATGTTTCCCAGGTCAAACATCATCATCCTCTTGTATCTTACATCATTAATATAATAATATATCATTATTACATTCAAAATTTATCACTTTACACTTTTAAAAAAATAAAAAACAATAAAATCATATTTTCGCTTTGTCTAAGCCTGTCTGTATACTTTTTAGTTTACAAAAATCTTATTAAAAACAACAACAAAAAATATCATTGCAATTTGCAAAATACAAAATACAAAAATAAACCATCAACAGAGAAGTAACATGTTTTTACACTCTCCTCTCTTTTATGAAAAAAACAGTGTTGTTGTTTTGCTTACTTATTTTGTTTTCTATTTTTTAATTCAAGCACATGTTTGTGT